GGCTAGCTAGCCAAACAACATCCTCGTGGTGTCAGCTGGGTGGACTGGATTTAACCCGTTCTAGCAAATAGTTCGGCAGCAGTGTTCCGAAATGTGGTGGGTTTCGCCTGGCAAGCGTTCTCCCCATAAAAAGCCACAAAGGTCTGCTTAACAACACTGTGACGTGGCGGTCGTGACTCGCCAGAAAATAAAGTCACTGCCATGAGAATGTCCGGATAATTCTATCCAACTTACGGACACCAATATCCTACTCGCATATTGATGACGATATCAAGCATTGAAGACTAGAGCAGCACAACTACAAGCATAAACTATACAGCTACATACACATACACACACAATGACCTATATACACACCCCCTACACAAACACAAATTGCTATGGCGAACATATCGGCTTTTTGCACATTCCTGCTCACGCATCGTTATGGCAAACAGATCATGTCTGTAAAGGCGTGCCTCACCTTGAGGAGAATAAAAGATTTATTTATTTATCCTTTCTATAATTATTTAGCCCATGTCTTTATCCCTTCTACAGCTGCCTTAAACTCGCGGATTTCGTTCAGAACAGTGTCACACAACTCATACGCAACAAACTTCATCGTAATATACAACGAATTCACATGGTGTACTAAACAACTTACGTTAACATCTTTGTCCTAGTACTGTACCTGGCACCATTGTCTGAACACCCAACAACGGCTTAACTACGCTTCCCGTTTACCGTTTGTTCTTTTTTATCCACCTTTGCGTGGTCTGCAAACAAGGGCCGATTAAATTGTCTTGGTTTGTTTAGCCATCCTATCCGTCTAACGGTCGTCCTTTGAGGATGGACGAATTGCTCGCCATTTCATAACACACGGATGGTTTCCAATACAAGCAATGCTTCATTTCTCAGGATCAGTTTACATGCGGTCTCAAAAATTGGGTTCCTCCCTACCTATTTTCAATGGCGCATAGTAAGGTGCCTACACCATAAACAACTCAAACAAAATGTAAAATAATATACAATGTTAAGTTTTTATTATCGGTATCGCGAGGCACGCCTTTGTGAGCATGAGCACGTCATGAAAACAGTGTGCACAAAAATGGAAAAGGAGGCAACATGCTTGTCAGGTCAGTAAATGTGCGCATGCATGTTGATCTGTGCACGGGTGAAGTTTCGTAACTTGTGCCGTTGCATTTGTGTCTATGTGGCAGTGCCGGCTATGCAAGTATTGACGTGTGATATCAGTGGAATTGACGTAATTATCAAGATATCCACCGGCCAGTGACTTTAGATTTAGTTAGCCACATTCGCCAGACCAAAGAGTTGCTAAACGGACATTTGTGGCTTTGTATGGAGAGAACGCTTGCCGGGCGGTAATCCACCACATCCTGGGACCCTGCAGCCGAAATACTTGGTGGGACGGGTTTCAACCGAACCACCCGGCTGGCACCACGAGGAGGTTGTACTACTAGCCAGCCCATCGTGCCTCTGCACTCTCAGACTCATGGCACATGCCGCTTATAGCGGATGGAATTTGCTATGGATTACACCAAGTACTTATGATTATCCGTGTGTATCCGGAAAATACTTTCCAACCCACGGACACCAATTTTCTACTCGCACATTGCTGTGGTTAACCAACATTCAAGCGTAAAGCATCACCTTTACAAGCACAAAATACACATATCCGTATACACGCAAATACATACTTATATATCGCTTACAAAATGGTACGCTGGTATGGCTAATATATCGGATTTTTACACATTATTGATGGTCCATTATTAAGTGAAAATGATCATGTTTGTTAAGGCGTGCCTCGAGTTATCGAGCATAAAAGCGTTGTTTATTTAGTAACTTGGCTGGTTTTATTACCAACACGCCGGTATGCTATAAGTTCAGAAAAGGTTTCTATCACGTACTTGTACTGGATACTCAATTTTTCTCTAGATAGGAACTCACTTCTATTCGTCCGACGTTACTTTAGTGTACGCATGATGGGCTTCACCAGTGAAAAACGATGCGACGTTTGCCAAACGTCGTCTGCAGCGAGCCGGCAGTCGGATCTTGACTACCTAAACCGGTAGCAATGCCGACTGAAACTGACAGGAAGTTGGTTTACTTACGACTAAACTTCACACACCTCATCACAACTTGCAGTTCACAAGCAAAATCTTATCAGCCACAAAGGCATACAAAGCAACCCAAGTACGACTAATTCTTTGTCCGGTTATTTATATTTATTTATGCTATTGTGCGCTAACTTTTGGTTTCAGGCTTCGGACTCTATTCCATAAACTTGCCGCGGTACGCCAGAAGGAAACCAAAGTCCAATTATTTATTCTCCCTTGGTGCCACCTATACTTGAACATAATACCCCTCTGTCAAGTACGCAAAATGCTTTTCAATGTATGGACAAAATTCTGCGCCAGCTGTACCTACAGAACCGCGCACTTAGGTTGTGTTTCACATGGTTGAGAAAAATGTTGGCTTCTAATTTTCAAAGAGCTTAAAACGTTTGCATTATGTTGCGCGAATTTACCCACAAAATTACACGTGTTTTAAACGCGAAAGCACTTGTATATTCACCCTTTTGTAGCATTTCGTACACTTCCTCCGATGATTCCTTATGTGAAGCCATCTTCTCCAGGTAAGTTTCGGCCAAAATTTCTCTCAGATATGTTGTACTATTGTTCATGGGTATGCAGGTTGTACCTTCTGTGAAGCAATACTCGAATAATTTGTTGGTCGCTGTGTAAGCAGTACCCTACTATGAATAAATAAATTATTAAATTGCTTTTCGCCTATCCATTGAGTTTAACCAAAGCAGGCATGAGCAAAATTTAAAAGCAATAATCTCTGTAGATGCAGTGTAATGCATTTGGTCTGCAGTGGTAAAAGTTGGCCTCAGCTGAATTAATGGAAGACGTACTCCTGAAGAATGCACACCTAAGTTAGACCATAATCTGGGTTCAGGTGTGCATACAGTAAACAGTAATACACCCACCGTAACCTGTCTTATTCGAACCCACGACAGCACTCTTTCGAGTCAGCGAATTATGCCACTGAGCCCTGAGAGACGGTAGCGGGCCGCCATGACTGACAACTGGCTGCGGTATAGCGCGGCTCATCTTCCACCGCCATGCATATTAAGAATGGGCAAAGGACACGGCTGGCCCCAGAACAACGACTTCTTTGCAAACCGAGGAAAAACGTGGTAGACTGGAAGCTGCTAAATCGACTACTTGTTATTTGTGAGTAGTTTGGCGAATAAGGTTTTTTAAATATAGGTTCGTCGCAGTTGGGCACAGGCAGACAGCCACCACACCACTGGGAAAGCGCTAGACGGCCGTTTCATCCTATTGTGACACGTCATTAGCGCGCACCCGCCGAATCCTGTCTGATTAGATGCCACGACCTAACGCCTGCCAGACAGCGACTAATGTCACTAAGCCATGGGCGACGGCAGCCTTGTTTCGTTTCGTTTTATTTCCATTTCATCTGTCGGGCACAGCGGTGAAAGCAGTTACAAGAATGCTGGGCGACGCTTGGGTGAGCGAAGTAGGATGGGCGTGCCGACTGTTCCCTCTCAGAAGACAACTCGAAAAACCACTAATAATATACCTTCCTATATCAACCTCGACTCAACGACGCTTCCACAATGGAACATAAATGAAATGCTCCTGTTGTTCCTGCTTAATTTGTACATTAACCATCTGAATCGCATGACACAAAGGTCCAGAAAAGCTATCTGGGCGAAGACTTTAACTAACCGCTTAGCGTGTCGTTAGAATGTACTTTTCATACACTAGTGGATTGTAGGTCTATAGTAACCTTTAAAGGAAGCGAGCATATTAATTGGTCTAGACTGTTTCTCTAAGGGCACTGAGCGTATTGGATCAAACTTAATACCAAAGGGTTGCCACGAATGGTTTTATGAAGTTAGAAACTTAGCGTAATCTTTTTTTGAGATTGCGCGTCGCATTCCAAGGCACAATGCGGGGCTCTAAAAACATGAAACCTACCTCTAACCGCTGTGTCACACACTGATCGCGGTGCTCAATGGCCTAGTGAACATGGCGTTAACCGCCAAGTGCTATGCGTCGAGTTCCACTCCCAGCTCAGCTATCCCTACCTGATGAGTCTAAACAAAGAGGAAACCGTCGGTAGTGGAGTGCAGGGATGGGAGAGAGCCACACCGAAATCCTCCAATAGCTTTAACCTATTTTTCTTTGCAGAAGTGAAGCTTGTGCGTCGAAGTGCTGGGGGCCTAGAGTTGATTACCGGCACACGAAACGAAACTCGTTTTAGGCCCAGGCCTGTTTCTTCCCTGATGATCTGACCTGATCCGACTTGTAAATATTGCCGCGAGATCACGGGAGTTGCTATGCACACGGCGTATCGTTAGAGGGAAAATTGGAGTTGAATTGCAGTATTTCTTTCCACTCAATTCTTTCAGTTCGACTCGGGATCAACATTGGAAATTGCTTAAACGAATGAGACTTTGGGTCCGTTGTTACGTCACTCTGTCTACCAGAGTAGTGAACGAATGGAATAATCTACCTGTGTATGTCGTTGATGCGCAGTCGGAAGAATGTTTCAAAAGTCAATTGGATTCTTACCTATTCAGTAAACTCGGATATTGTTGTTTCTTGTGTCAATGCAGCCGTCCCATTGGTACCGACTTGTAATGTCCACCTTTATCCCTGTGACGACAAGAAAGTGATAGAGCTGACAAAGTATTTTTCCTTCTGCTCTCTACATTCCAATGATCCAATGAACAAAATGATCCATCACCCTATATTTATTATAACCGCGATAAACTGCTATTATATTGAAGTGCCACAAGTCCTTTTGCTTAATGGCACACTAAACGGCGCACTTGTTTAGCAAAGCCCCGTTACGGCTCTACATCTATCCTGTCCTGTCCTTGAAATGTGACCTAACGCCCTTGGAATCTAAGTGACCTTGTCTACCGTTGTTTTTACGTCATGACCTAGTTGCGTCGATTGATGCGATCAGCACTCTGTCTCTGGTTCATACTGCTTCTTAGATTTAATTATTCCTTTTCTATAATACTTGTTGTAAGGTTCATTTCAAAGTACGCTGTTAATGTTTCTTCAGAGAAAGCTTGGAAGCAATTCTTCGATAACTTACTTTAATGACGAGCAGGCCAGATTTGGACCTGGAATTAAGGAGGACTCTCCTGTTATGGTACGCCTAATAATTAACCTAATTTATTCGCAGGGTCGAATATTTGCATCTGAGCCCATTGAGGGTTGTGTGGACAACATCAGCCTTCCTATAAACCATTCGCGATACGCATTACCCTTCATATGCTTAATTAAGCGGGGTAACTGCACTTTCGATTACAAGGCTCGGGCTGCACACCGCGGAGGGTATGTGGCTGCAGTCATTTACAATCACCTTGGGGATGATATTTTCCCCATGGCATCTCAGTCTAGTATGTACGTCAATTTGAACTGAGTTTCAGCTTACTCCGTTTATATTCCGTCCACAATGGTGGGCTTACATGATGGAGAAAAGCTTAGGAAGTACTACGCCTTCCCACGAATGTAAGTTCAGCATTGTTTTACTTTGTCAATCTTTCCTTCTCTTTTTACTAGCTAGTTTTTTCTTATAACTATGTCGAACGGACAAGCGTAGTCCCTTTACTATTCCTTCTAATTCGTAGTGCATTTAAATCGGTCATTACACTTGTAATCATTTACACCCCCGCTTGCCGAATTATTTCTTTTTGGTGCCAGCTAGGTGGTTCGGGTGACCCCGATCCAGCAAAGTAGTCGGTGGCAATGTTCCACCTCGATGGGGCATTGTATTCCAGCAATTGTACTGATTTCGTGGGGTTATTGGGCCCCCGTTTGGTGATCTACCAAACAAAGACGCATGAACTGAACATTCAGTCAGCGCCTCCCCATGGGCGCGATTCCCTAACTTCGCTCCGCTGCTTTGCAGGTAGGTTATTTAACCAAATACTCGGGGTGGAGTCTCCTAAGTCAACTTCCTACTTTGGCTTGGGCAACCGGGTAGTATCACGCCCTCTCACATAACCATGGACTGTATTACAACGTTCTCATTAGCTACACTTTTTGCTTCTCACATACACGCTACTTCATCACACGCCAATTGTTCCTTTGCTAACCATCCTCACTTTCTGTTACCCGATTCATGTGTTTAGCAATCTGGCAGCGATTCCGGCAGTGCCGCAGACCAAGCAGTTCAACCTATGGTTTTCCTTCTTCATTGATCCTCCTTCCGTCTGGCATGCTTCAACGTTCGGACACTCATGCAGATTGGACAGCAAGCCGGTCTAGCGCCCACCCTAGAGTTCCTAAACATTGATGTCTGCTGCCTTTCAGAAACCCGATTGCAATATTCCAGCACTGTGCTTACATTGACATCCAGATATCGCCAGATATCAACTGCGTTTTTCTGGAGATCCAGAAGCGGCCTCAGCGGATTTGGCTAGTGTAGGTATATCACTAAGTGGCAATGCCGTGGCGTCACTACTGGACCGGTTCCCGATTAACGGCCGACCATGTGCAACTCGGCTTCGGGGCTAAATTAGAATCACCAAGCGCCGCGAAGAAAGACGCAACTTGTTTGTGATCTCCGTGTACGTTCCAACTGACTGCAGTTGTGACTCAGTCAAGGACCAATTCTACCTGGATCTGCATCAGCTCTTGACTAATGCTAAAAATTCGGATGTCGTTATCCTTGCTGGGGATTTTAATGCACGGGTTGGCCGTCTGTTACCATACGAACGCCACCTTCGTTGTCACCACGCGCTCGATGTGAACCGCTCTGATAACGGAGAACGGCGTCTCACATTGTGCGATCACTAACTTCAGGCGTATGAAAAAGCGTTCCGCAAGGTGCCGTCCTTCTTCAACACTACCGTGGTCTCAAATTGATCACATTTCAATAAGCTTCAGATGGCGGGGCAGCGTACTGGACTGTAGGTCCTTTTGGTCCACCTTCGTTGACTCAGTTCATGCACTGGTCTGCGCGAAAATCTGGCATGAAGAGAAAGTGCCTTCTTCTTGGGGCGTATCAGTTATTGTCCCGATTTTCCAAAAACGCTCGCACTTCATGTGTAAATCATCGCGGGATCAGTCTTATTTTGGTTGCCTCTAAGCTATTGTCATCCATCTGATTCGCAGACTATCCCTAGTACATGAATCATACTACCGTGAAGAACAAGCTAGTTTCCGTCCTGGCCGCGAATGCGTGGATCAAATCTTCACGCTCCGCCAGCTCCTCGATCATCGCCACATTTGTCACAGTCCCACTATCGTTGCATTCCTAGACATACGTGCCGCTTTTGACTCCGTTGATCGACCTGCTTTATGGCCTTGGTTGCCAAAGAACGGGGTGTCAGAGAAATATACCGCCTTATGAGCATTTTATTTTCACACATCTGGCAGAGTGTGGGTCTATGGCAAGCTTTCCTCGCGATTCGCTGTCAATTACGGTGTGCGACAGGGCTGCCGTATGTTCCCATTTCGCTTTAACTTTGCAATCGGAGACTTTCTGTCGAATGCTCTAGAAGGTTTCCAACATTTTGGCCTAGAGCTTCTACCGAGTGAGCGCGCGGCCGACTTAGATTATGCTAATGATATCGCCTTACTTAGTGACGATCCTCAGGGTATGCAACTCATTCTGGCTCGTTTGGCGGTTTAAGCATCTAAGTATGGCATCGACTTCGCCCAATCGAAGTGTAAAGTACTGCTCAAGGATTGGCTTCCACCTCCTCCCGTGCTCAATCTCGAAGATGCAAAACTTGAACAGGTAGTTTCGTCTACCTTGAAAGTTGTGTTTCTGCTGACGGCACTATTAACAAAGAAGTTTCTCTTGGCATCGCTGAAGCTCTATCAGCATTTGTCAATCTGAGTAACTTGTAGCGTCGTCGCGACCTCATTCTCTCTAAATTGCCGCGTTTACGGCGCATCAGTTTGCTCAGTATTGTTGTATGGGTGGGAGTCCTGGCCGATTCGCTTGGAAGACATGCGTCTTCTTTCTGTCTTCGATAACGGTTGCTTAAGGAGGAGTGCTCATGTTTGGTGGCAACGTCGAGTTAATAGTAATGACGTTCGACGTCGTATCTTTGGGAATGCTAGTATTCCCTTCTACAAACTGGTTTTGTTGCGCCAGTTGACTTGACTCGCTCACGTCCTACGCATGGCACCTGAGCGTCTACCGCATCGCTCTCTATTCGCTCGTCAAGGTTCTGGCTGGAAGCGACCGCGTGGTAGTCAGCCTTCTACATGGCGGCTTCACATGAAATCGCAAGATGGGGACTCAAAGATGAAGAGTGTCAGTGGCTTAACACTCTTGAAGACGGCCCGCAACCGGAATCTGTGGAAGAATTGTGTACAGTGTTGTATTGATTCACATGTTTAATGCTACCAACATTGAAAATGAAAAAAGGAGAAAAATCGGCTTGTGAAAAACAAATTAAACATGTTTTGTTCTACTTTTTGTCAAAATGTTCCTTTCTTCCTGCAGCATATTAGCTGAAGTGTGTTTCTCACCTTTAACTACTGTGCAACAATGATTATGACGCGATGACTTTCCATTATTCTCTGATCTCCATGGTTTTCTGTTGGCTCTTTGTCTACTTGTTATACTGCCGAAATCACTCACTCACTGAATCATGTAACTTAGTTGTCAGTTTGACGTGAACATTACTAATGATGCTGTATTTCCCTTTTACTTTGCTGGCGGCTCTGACATTGTAGGCTATGTCGCATTTGTTTGGTTCTCTGAGCTATCCGTCTCTATGAGACGGTTTTTACTCGCTGTGAACTCTTACGTTTACATGGATTTCTAGGCTGCCATTAGTTGCGCTTTTCATTCGTACTGCACTAAGTCGGTTCGTAGCCTTGCGAATCATAAGCCTGCCTTATAATCTGAAGTGGAGGGTTCGAGTCTGTGAAGGGACCTAGCGACCGTTGCAGTATTCTCAGCCCACGTGCGACCGTCGTTACTACGTACCGGCCTACTGCTGATGCCTTTCTTTTTTCTTTTATTTCTGCACTAAGCATTGATTAGATATAATGGAAATTGATGTCAAGTATTGTGGTTTCTCCGCCGTCGGAGTCCTATTTTTGGGTGACCAACCTACCAATGGAATTAACTTTTTCTGTCATATATTCTAAACTAGGTTGGCAAAGAGTACACCTATGGCGTATCATCGTCGACGCTTAGGTTGGTGTCACTTTTCCCACTTGTTTATCACTACCTGACAACGTTTGACCGTGGTAATGTGTACTTGTCGAACCTCACCAACTATTCACGATGCTGTCTCCTTGGAAGTATGGTGTAGTTTGTTGTTTCCCGAAAATTTAGGTTAGTGCTTTGTACTTCGTAACTAAAAAGAGTATGTTAACAGGCATCATCTCTCCGCAGTGACTGTCCTTAATTGACCACAACGCTGCGACTGTCATACTTCATGGCACTCTAGTACGCGTAATCATGATCAAGCAACTTTTCGCCATAGCTGAAACTTCACACCTGTATCGCAAGACTCCACAAGAGCGCACTGCATGACGGAGTCTAAGGCAAAATACAATAGAAATGGGGGCAACTGGCAAGCGCGGGATGCCTCTAGGCCACACTCCACTGGTGATGATCGCCTGACAGCATAGCTTCTATACACCGTCTGCTGATTCACCGTAGCCCCCTTACACTACCTATGGCATTCCGGTCCAGAACCGGTATATTATTAGACCACATCTACAGGCAAGTGCATGAAGCTAAACAGCGATCTGCAGGGTATATGACTCTTTCGAAACCGAAAAATATTACTTGCTCTATGGATCAGAGACATTAAACGCTTGAGCGTGTTTGATCACCGGTGCTACGGATTATTGCTCATGTTTGGCGGAAACACCGGTTGAGCAATGTTGAAGCCCGCCGGTTGGTTTTTTGCAGAAGGTCCCCTGGTGTCCTATACAAATGTTTGCTAGATCTTGCTCGCTTACGTTGGCTAGGCCATGTCCTCTGTATGCTCGTTGACAGACTTCCTCGGTATACATTATGCGCTGTGGCTGCACCAAGTTGGATCGAACAGCGACTTAGCCACTCCATGACGTGGCATAGGGGCTTGGAGACCGCCTGATAGATCTCGTCAGGCTGGTACGTCCTCGTGGATGAAGCCTCTGGATAGCCTGCACCAATGGTTAGAGACCGTATCAGACATGGCGCGGTCACGCAGTCAGTGACGTTATCGGATTCGATTTTTTTAACATCCGGTTGTTTATTTTCGCTTCATTCTGATTAGTTCAACCTACTTCATTCTTACTTTAGTTTTCTTTACATTTCATTTGCCTATAACCCCACTATCTTGCTGCTGTTATTTGCCGTCTTCGTGCGATGCGAGTCGTAACAACTTGATCCACTGCACCTCGGATCTTAGTTGATCAACTTTACTGAACTGGACTAACATCTGTCGCAGAAGGTAGATAGGGTGATCGTGTACGCAAACCTTTTCTCTCCTTCGAGCTGTTTCTGAAGTATGCTGTCGGACGCGAACGACAACTCCTCAGTTTAC